TATATATATACACACATATATATCATTAAAAAGGTAGCAGGCTGGCGTGTTACTGCAAAGCAGAGGAATGTCGAGAGGTGAGTCAGACAAACAGAAATAGAGCCACCAATTGAATGTTTCTGAGTCAAGTGGCAGCATGTTCTGCCATTGAGAGCAAATGACAAACATGGAGCGAAGCAGGAAGAGACAGAAACACAAAGGTGGGGAGCAGGTAAACAACAAAAAAAAGGTCCCACATGTACTCAAGGCCTCCACCAGTCTTGTCCTGACAAGCTCAACTCTGCTTCTATGATGGTGTGGGTTAGCTGTTTCAGTTCAGATTCTTTTATTTTTGGCATTTCTAAAGAGATCTCACCTTGACAGCTCGTGTGGATCTCCTGAGCCTCTCTTTGGTTTCTCGTCAGCGAACACACAGTCCTGCTGAGGAGAATGTGTGAAAGTGTTTGAAATGAGTAGCAGCAGCTCAACAGTCAAGACAAACCTGTTTGACAACTCATGTGTGCTTCTTGTGGCTCCGCCCCCTCTCGCTGATTGGTCCGATCGCTCTCCTACTAGGAAACATTTCTGGCCTCTTTCTGGTCACATGACACTGCCATTGTTTGGTGCTGCTAGCTGGATGATAAGGAGTCATAGCTCGTCTGCTGACAAGCTGTTCAAAGGTCCATGTTGAATGTTTCGGTATGTGTGGAGTGTGGAATAAAAGTACACGGCAAGACCAACACTTTAGACAAATTTAATATCAACATAAAATTGTCTTAACATAATCTGAGAAACAGAAACTGGAATTATAATCTCTTCCTTTTACCCGAGATAAAACTAGAAAGAACAGCGACCTACACCAAATATATAAAAATAAACGACCTTATAGTCATACAAGCGTTTTTTTTGATCAAAGACATGAATGTATACAAACTTTGCAGTATTTCGTTTGGACACACATAACAAATGTAACCACTCATAAAACTACCACAGTTCGTCATAGTCCATCCCATAATATTTGGCCATTTAGTATTCATAACTGTAATATATTACAGCCATATACAAATTGCACATAAGAGCACAGAGAGTGGTTACAGTAGGGTTAAACAAAATAAGATATATTTTAATATTTTATTTTACAAACCAAGATAAAGGAATGAGCCGTCGGTCACGTGTGCTACTGTAAGTTTACGTATGTAAATGATGGCGATGATAAAAAGAAGTTACATTTCACTTCAGCCTCACGACAGTTTGTGTTCAAAGAGTGAGTCCTCTCTTGGATGTTACAATATAATCCAAACAATAATCATTCCACATTCATCGCTTCTCACAGGATTCATACACTCACATTTTGTACAATGTAACATCTCAAACAAACAAATGTAAATACGGTTACGTTAAAGTTAGTGACCTTTCTGAGATTTATTGTGCTTTCTTCTGCTAAGTAGTAAGTCTGGAACTATGTGGAAAAGTCTGCACATGTGTGTTGGATTTAACTCTACATCACAGCATGAAACTTGAATACCAGAGTAATGAGGGGCCATTAGTTCTTCTTGTGCACCATAATTTAGAAAATAACAATGCTGTGACGTTCGGGGTTAGGAGATAGCACAGTTTTTATCTTTGTCCTTTGCGCTGAGGCTGTGAGCTCTTCTCCGCCTTATGCTGCCTCTCAGCCCCCAGTCTCTCTGCACCTCCCTCTCCTCGTCTCCCTCTCTGTCTTTGCCCTCCTCGGGTTGCTGCTTTCGGAGCTGTGGGGGCAGAGGTATGGGCTTTCCCAGGAAGAAGCCCTCTTCCTCTGAGTCTGAGGATGAAGAGCAAGTAGAGCAAGAGTCTTCATGTTTGCACGGGCCCTGCTGGAGGCTCAGCGAGGAGGCGACGGCAGAGCCCCGCTTGTCTCTCTCTTTCTCGCCTCTCCAGTCCAGCAGGTCCAGCCGAGGCCTTTCGGGCCGCGAGTGTCTGGAACGCCTCTCTGCTCCCGAGTGGAGAGCCGGGTCAGAGGGGATGCGGCAATGGCTCCACCCTCGCCGCAGACTCCGCTGGTGGTAAGAGGATCCATCTGGGTGACAATATAAATGATGAGAAATACAAAATCAACTTGGTTTCCCAGATTCTACGTCAGTCAATAGTCATCTGTTTTGAAAGCCTTTTCTTACCCAGAAGATCCATCTGCGGTGGGATGCCCTTCTGTAGATGCAACCTGCTTCCGAAACCTCCCTCCGCCTCCTCTTCCTCCTGCTGGTCCTCCTCACCCTCTGGCAGCTCTGGCTCCTTCTCATCCTCGTCCCCATCGACAGAGTAGCTGCTGCTGATTGGTTCTCTGAAGCTGACCCGAGCTGTGCCACTGCGGCACAGCGGGGGCGGTGAATCAGACGGTCGGTCCACCAGTTGGGGGAGTGTTGGTGGGGGCGAGTCCAGGGGCATCAAGTCACGAGACTTGAGGGGCAGAGGAGGCGGGAGGACGGACGGGTTGTTGGGCGGGAGGGGAGGCGAGTCAGGTGAGATGAGGTGTGAGTTTTTCTGTGGAGGAAACACTGCAGGGAGAAAACCAGGGGGGGGGGGGGCACATGTAGTTAATACAGAGTGAGATGAGATTATATAATTATAGAACAATGATACTTTGTTGTTGGTATTAAGCTTCAGGGATTTCTGATACCTTGCATTACTTGATTTGTCCTTTCCACCCAGTTCCTACAGTCTTTAGTCGAGGTTCCCCTTGAATTAAGGCCAGTTAGTCCAGGATTTCCATTTAGCTCTCCCTTGAACTGAAGATCTCCGACAGAACGTTTGTTAGCAGAGTCCCCCGGCAGTAAACTGTAATGTGGAAGGTCGCTGGGCCAAGACGGACCTAAGCCGTTTCCTAGATGGATGTGGGGAAGAGGTGAGTAGGAGCTTTTTGGATGAGGACGGCCACCGGGTGAAGGAAGTCCGTTTTGAACTGGAGCAGTGCAGTGGACACCTGAGAGAAGCAGAGCAAGTCAATGTGTGAGAATAGTCTCTACAGGATACTTACAGGGTCATTTCTCGGCAGTGCGACCTACATAACATCATAGTATGACACCAGTGTAGCATCATCACCTCTGTTTTCCACTGCAGTGTGCATGCAGTCTTTCGCAGGAGTTATAGGGGGTTTGGTGCCCTCTAGTGGCTGCAGTGGAGAGCCGCACTGAGGCTGCTGGTGTTTCTCTGCTGTCTCGCCGCGTCGGTGCTGAGGCGGTTTGCTCTGCAGCGCCGAGTCACAGGAGTCGGAGTTATTGGGGTCCTCGCCCAGCGAGCAGGGCCTGGAGCAGAAGATGAGCCCCGCTCGAGGGAGGAAGGGGCGCCCCAGCAGAGGCAGCTGGCAGCGGGCGCAGCAGAAACACGACTCCACGGCGTGCCAGTGCTGACCCTCGTATGTCATCTGACCCTGATCGATACCTGAGAGGAAATAATCTCATGATTACACGACTCATTTGAAAATCTATCTCTGTTTTCTCTGTAATCTCTGCTACGTATACAAATACGTAGCTCTGCAGTTTTGATTCTTTATCTTCTTTTTATAATCTGAAGACAGATTTAACTCCTTTTCTTGGCAATCAAGTGACTGTTGGTGTACAAACAGATTATGAATGAATGACATTATAGTAAAACACAGTTGTAATATGTCTTCAAAAGAGTAGTTACGATTGTCAGCAAATACTGTACTTTGAAAAATACTTAAAAATGTCATTACATCTGCTTACAACTACATTCTAGTGTCTTAGAAACGATTAATTTAATGTTTTGTTCGCTGCCTAAAAATGCTAAATACTTAAAGTCAAGTGTTACCAAATAAATAGTGAACAACATCTGCTTGATAATGGCTTTTAGCTGTGTAGAAACCCCCGTATGAGTTTCTTTAGATGTAATTCAGTACCTATGTGATCGCCGCAGGTATCGCAGTACTCTGCGTACAGGGACTTGTAGCAGCAGCAGCAGTACGGTCGGCTCTCTCTCATGATGTATCGCTGACCGCCCAGCGCAGCCTCGCACTCAAAACAGCAGAAGTGTTTCATGTGCCAGTATCTTCCCTCTGCCTCCGTACATTCATCCGCCAGAATAATCTAGGATTGAGACACAACGGAGGGAGATGGAGAGGTCACTCGGTGATGATTTCATGGGTGCAGAAGTAAACAAATCAGTTGTAAAAATGAGTACTGAGGATTTGGGTTATCAAGATAGGGAGGAAAAAAAAGATGCTATGGGCGCCCTGTCGCAGGCTTAGTCATCCTCTGGGTCTAAAGAACTCTTGTAGGTCAGTCGTGGCAGATCCATTAGCCGACTACGTCAACTAATCTCTTAAGTCACATTGAGAAGTCATTTAAAACAAGCAGAGACCACCAGAAACATCTGCAAATACCCCTTTTACTATGCACTGATCAGGGACACGATGAAATACAGCAATAGTACAATACCAGACAGGGCCTGACGATTCATTTGGGGATACGTTAAAGGATCTTTCTGCGCAGGTTTGAATAAAAAACCCCCATCTCTTATACAACTCACTCACAATGGCTCTTCTGTTATTGTTAAGATACCTTTAAAATACTATGCCTTCAGTGGATAGTTTGTAGTGGAGAGAAAGAGATACAATGAAGCTGGGTAATAGTACTCGTGGACCAGTGGGATACTCTTCTGACTCCCACTTCACTTTACTTTACTTTTAGAGACCTGCTGCAAAACCCTGCTTTTGGTGGAAGTTTATGAGACAGGTTCGGGTTTCTCCGTGAGACAGTCACCTCATCGCAGGCCTGGCAGCGCGGCTTCAGCCTCTCAGCGTGGTGCCGGCCACAGTAGATCTGTCCTTCCTGGAAGAAGTAGATGAGATCGACCAGCAGCTCGCTGCAGGTGGCGCACTGGAAACACTGAGGGTGCCAACAGCTGCTCTTTGCTGCCCGACTGGCAAACACCGCTATGTCTCCACCGCAGATCTGCCTCTCGCACTGGAAAAAAAAGCAGATTTGGTTGGGATGGGGGTGTGGTGCAGAGGGAAGAGTTAGATGGAATATCCTTTAAAAGAAATGGTGAACGTTGCAGGTTACACAGCCACTTGCTTATGCAGCCCTGTAATCATTACATCTCAGTGTGATGTGGCCCCTGAGCAATGCCTGCACCTACTTGCACCTGAACTTTCTCGAGTCCTATAAAAAAGAGATTCTTCTTCAGCATGGCTCCGATGGGTTTTAATAAGCTTTCCCTTGCATGCATTAAAGGGAACGTATCCTCATATAACTTTAAAGGGAATCTTCTGCATATTCAAGCAGAGTTTGCAGCTGCACTTTCTGTTGTTCTTCCTGCGTCTAGTGCCATTATTTAACGGAACAGTGAAGTAGTTGGATGCAAGGAAGAACTACAGGCGTGTGTGGTGGAGCAAGAGAGAGAGAGAGAGAGAGACATCAACACTGACTGGACATTCACAGAAAAGATGCAGAATTTTCCCTTTAAAGTTATCTCAGGACACTGTTGTTTTTGAGCTTTGTATTGGCCTATCTCATGAGGGAATCTGTTACGTTTCTAGACATAAAATAAAAATGTTGCTCTACCTGTTGGCAGATGGCTCCCGTCATAGTTACTGGGAAGAGTCTGACGACGCCTCGGCCCAAGTTCTCTTTTTTCCTCTGCTGACTGAACAAACGCAACTCCTTCTTCTCCTCGTTGTCCAGAGTGTTACAGTACTGGGACTACAGGAAACACAGAGGTTCTTGTTGACATGTTGTGCAAAATCATCTCTAAACATCATTTACTTCTGAGGTTCAGTGAGATGAATGAAGTCCAGTATAATTTAGAACTTATTTATTGTATAGAGGGTTATTGAGAGGCATCATTTCATTTTAAATAGTGTCGTGACAAATTATAAAAGTATGCATTAGTAGCGACTGGATTTTAAGTGTAGTTTTAAATTTTTTAATGTGTAATGGTAAATGATTCACCAAATGGAGCCTTTAACAGAATGATATTTACCAGTTTCTGGTTTAACTTGGGGAAGAGAACAGCAAAACTGACTAATAAACACATTGAGCTATACAGCTTTCAAAGTGCTTTAAATAAATGCTCATTTAAAAAAAAGAATATGAACCAATTTCTTTAATAAATCACCATAAACCAATGAAAATAACATTTAAAAGGTAAAGGACGGGACAAAATAGTAGTATTATAATACACAATATATATTTTTTAACTTTTTACATTAAAAGAAAAAAATGTATGTTTGGAAATATAAAGAATAACTTTTGTATTTAACAGCATTGATGTTAAATCGAAAGCTCAGAATCAATAATAATAATAATGATGTGTTATTGTATTGTGGTTCAGCAAACTTGCTCGACTGAGTGATTGTATGTACTTGTCATGTCACCACACTACTACGAGTGAAGCCAGAGACTGAAACATCCAACGTGGCAGCGATGTTACCTCACTGTCGTGGGCTGGAAGCTGGTGCAGCAGTTGTTTGATTCGGTATCTCTCCCCTAAACTGTTCACATAAGGCACCCTGTCCTCTGGCAAGCAGCTGAAATACTGGTATACCTGTATGAGGAGACAAGTGTGTTCACATAAAGAGCACAAATAACAGAGTACAGAGAGACAATTATTCATCCAGAGAGCAATTAATTCAATTGCAGTCATAAAACAGTTATCTAATTGTTTGTGTATGTATGAACATGTCCAAGTGGAAGCGTGCATCACCCTCACTTTTGTGTCTCCACTCTGCATCTGCACCGAGGTTGTTACCTGTTCGGGCTTGAGCCCAGGTGGGACCCATGCGTACTCCTCGGAGGCGCAGCCCGAGTCATCGTCGGAGATGGAGTGTCTCTGGAAATCTGATACCAGCTTCGTCATCATCTTTTCCAGCTGGCCCGGCACCGAGCGCACGGCATGCTCCTCTCGAACGCACTTGCAGTGAACACAGATCTTCCTGTGGAGACAAAGACGGCTTTGAGGCTCGTCCCACGGAGACTTTTTTTTTTTGCTACTGATTTACAACACAAGCCAAAGATGATCAAATGTCAAATGTTTCAAGGAGCTGGGTTCTCCTGGTGCGTCAGGTGCTAAGGTGCAAACCACAGAGTTAAAACGTGAACCCGACTTCAGATTTATACCAGTCATTGTTTTCCAGATGCATTTGACAAAACAGAAAGAAAATATATAAAGAATTTGGTTTATTTTTGAACCCACAATTAAGCCAGATGAATCAAATTGAGATCAGGTAGTTAGGCCCGCTCCTAAAACAAACCCAAACAACAGGGCTCTAAAAGTAATAACTCTTAAATAATAACTTTCATATGGGCACTCCCACTTTGTAACCATATTATTTATTAAAACACTTTGCTTTGGAGACATTATGTTGCAAACCAGCCCACGCACATTTTTGCGGCTGACTCAAAGAGACTCTTGGCAGCCAGAAATGACTTATACAATAGTTATTGTCATACCGATACATAAAAACGCCATCTCCAGATCATTTAAAACTCAAAACTAGAAATCGTTGTTGCACACAGTCTATGGATAGTGTGTAGTGCTAATGCATTTACACATTTGGAGTAAACTCAATCTCATCTCAGATGTTATTGAGGAGCTCACATCCCAAACACGCTACTACCAAACAAGCAGGAAATGAGGTCGCTGACATAAGCCTGGCCGCCAATCCCGCGCGGCAGTTAAGGGAGGGAGGTGAAGATGGGAGCAATAATCTCCCCCGGCCTCATGTTACACCCCGTCGAGTCCTCTGTGACTCCTCACTACAATCAGTCTGGAGGTGGGTGTGCCCGTTCGTGGGACCGATGGAGTCAGAGTAAAGCACCCCGGGGTTGTCAGCGAGGTGTGGATGTCGTGTATGCGACGATGTGGCCACATACGGCATGTACTGCATGTGTACATCCCTGTTGTGATTGCATAACGGCCTGCCAGCTGGCACTTGTGGCTCAAGTTCACAAGACACAAAGCTGCTTTATTCCAGCAACCCAACCCCCACTCAACCAAAAACCTCAAACACACTCAAACACACTCAAACACACACACACACACAACTGCTCCTCTTCTAATCAATTGTCTCATAAAGTAAAAAGGTGTTTTTTGTTGTTAGCAACGGCAGGTAATCGCTGCATGTCAGTGTGAACGCGCTCCACTCTCTTCATTCAGCACGAGGTAACTGTGAAGGAGAATACAAATGCTGCTATATGATCCCAGCCATCCTGGGGTCGGCACCTTATACGACCGTGATCACAAAGCAGGTAGAACCAATACAAATAATAGTACACACGGCAAGTCAGCTTACGCTAAGCCAAGCTGGCAGGAATCTGACCCCAGCTGTATTCGACTGTGTGTGTGTGTGTGTGTGTGTGTGTGTGTGTGTGTGTGTGTGTGT